AATTTCATCATCATCACAATTCATTTCTCCCCATCCATCGCCCTCCATAAACACAGATTCAAACATAAGATTATCGTTTTCATCGTCTCCCCATGGATCGTAATCCTCAGTAGTATTCATTTTTTAATGAAAAATCAACTGATCGAGATTTCCACAATGTTGTTTTCGCGAGGGACTGTAATCGAGGTTATGACGATTGAGATGTATATTTCGGTGATTTTTGTTCACTGGAGTGTATTCGGCGTGATTACACTCGCCGTTGACATTTTAGTATAGTACGTCTCAGCGATGGTGGCGCCGCATGTTATCGCCGCGTTTACCATTCAAACAGTGACATGTAAACGCTGTGATTACACGCACGTGCAAGGAAAATGAATATATAACTGCTTAACAAATGATTATTGAACATTGGCTGTGTGTAGATGACTGGACGTAGTATTATGCATATTAATGGTATATAATTATCATAAATGAGTTTCTCAATCATTGCAAAACCAAAGAAACATTCTTCAGTTTGCTACCCAGCATTTTTATTAATTATAAATCCATTTCATCTGTGAATATTGGTGACCTTCTATTTCTTATCAATTGATCATTATGCTACTACTTCAATAATCGGTTATTGTTATTAGAATTGATGGAATAATCAATGAAAATCGTATTCTGCAGTCACATTCTCAAGGTCTTGATCTATCAATCTTAGGCAATTTGTGTCTCATCTAATAACTGTGGTTGTAACTTCTATCTCCCAATAATAATTACATATCAATTGACTGAGTGATGTTTAACCAATAATTCTAATTGTTATAGCTATGATAACAGGAAAATTTGGACCAACAAATTCGATTCAATATCAAATGGGTCATGTTCTATTTTCCTATTATCAGGATAAAATAATATTTTTGTTTAGTGGATCCTTACCTTTTAAGCGCTGAGGGCATCTGAAAGTAAAAGTTTGTTGGATAGGAAACTTTAATAATATCAATCAATTTGTTTGATATCCCAGTGTTACCTTTTTATTAATAAGAACTTTGAATGTTTTTTATGTATTTGTTACAGTTTGGGCAGTCGATAGAGTAGAAAACCCAACAGAAGTAATTTTCTAGTTTCTTTTAAGTTTCAAAAGTTGCCTACATTGCTTAACGTATTTTTTGGGCTAGTTACTATGGCATGGCGTTCGCGTCATGTCCCACATTGTAAAACAATAATCTCTTCTCGAGTAATTAATACAGTTATTGTGCATAAAATACAAAACGAAGTATTATATCCATCGATTATTTACACCCTCCACAACATTTTGGCGACCGTGACAGGACGAGTAATCGTCGGATCGTGTCTGTATCGATGGATAACCCCAAGAGTACTCGCGCAGCAAAGCGAGCAGCGTTCACTAAGACGCCCACAACGTTGACGGCAGTTCTACAACAAGATAACCCCAATATTAACAATGTCAGAGCATATTTGGCTATCTTAGAAGAGAGATCGACAGAACTGCAAGAATTAAATCAAAATATTTCAGCGGAAATGGTAAACAGTGGAGCAAACACTGAAGCAGAATTGACAGCTGAATTCAATTCGTGTGACGAATACCAGCTGAAATTTCAGCAAATAAAACACGAAGTACTGCAAGTGACTGAGACAGCTCAACGTCCAGGTGTCCCCATGTTTCACATTAATCAGCCAGTTCCAGCGACAAATCAGAGGTTTAGATATCCAAAAATGGAGATTCCAAAGTTTTCTGGAGACATGAAGGACTGGCTTCAGTTCTGGAGTTTGTTCAAGGGTATTCACGATGATGTCACTATGCCCAAGGAGCAAAAGTTTAGTTATTTGGTTCAAGGAGTTGTTGAGGGCTCAAGAGCGAGAGTGGTAATTGACAGTTTCCCACCATCGGCAGAAAATTATGATGAAGCGATATCTGCATGGAAAAATCGTTTTGGAAAAAAAGAACTTCTCGTGGAAATGTATATTCATGAGTTACTTAAACTCGTATTGAGCAATGCCTTTTACAAGGACGACAAAAGACCATTGTCAAGCACTTATGACAAATTAAAGATTCAACTCAGGGCTTTAGAGTCACTGGGAGTCACTACAGACATGTGTGCAGCAATGCTGTTTCCCCTGGTGGAGTCTTCGTTATCAGAGGAGTTACTGAGGGCTTGGCAGCGCCACTCAACATCACTACAGATCCCTGATGCCCAGGTACGTCTTGCGAAGTTCATGGACTTCTTAGAAGCCGAGGTTATGTCCGAACAGCGTATCGACATGGCAGTACAAGGTTTTGACATCACTCCAACCACCCAGCAGCAGAGTAAAGACACTAAGAATAACGACAAGAAAAAGAAAGTCAAGAGTGAGAATGGACCCGTAGCTACAGCAGCAGGATTGCTCAACACAAAAGGTCAGACAGTGGATTCATGTAAATTCTGTGAGCAAAATCACAAAAGTGACAGTTGTGAGAAAGCGAAAAAAATGACAATGGAAGAACGTGTAGAAATCGTGAAGAGCACAAATGCCTGCTTTAATTGTTAAAAACCAATCACTCTTGTAAGTTCTGCAGATATCGCGAAAAATGTCCTTGGTGTGGTAAGAAGCACGTACTGTTGATGTGTAAGCTTGTGGGTAGTACATCAGCTGTTGAGGACAAATCCAAGGTCAAACCAACTGAACAGAATCTTGCCAGTTTTTCAACAGACATGGAAGTATTCCTTCAAACACTGAAGGTCAAACTGGTCCACGGCAGCAAGGAGAAAGTGGTCAGGGCGATCATTGATTCAGGGTCGTTCATATGTTTCAGGGCCAGCAGCAGAATTTCTAGCGTATGAAATGGCGGAACGTCGTACTGTGATCCATTCACTGTTCGGTGGTACCCTAACACAGCCTCAAGAGCATAAGGTCTACAAGATTCATCAGAGGAACATGGATAGTTCATATGCCTGCAATTTCACTGCCTGTCACCAGGACACCATGTGTCAGAACATCTCGAAAATTAAGAAAGGGCCCTGGATTGATGAATTGCATGGGAAAAATATACGTCTAACTGATGTGGGACCAGGGGAACAGCCCATTGAATTACTTATAGGAGCAGACGTAGCAGCTAAGCTTTACACAGGTGAAATTTTGAATCTAGACTGTGGGGTCACAGCAATAGGAACACGTTTGGGTTGGACTTTGATGGGCAAAGTAAAGTCGCATGCAGTTGACACAACTTCGACAATGACCACACTCTCGATGTTCACTCAAGATGCCGATCTATCAGCCCTGTGGAGCTTGGATGTGCTGGGTATCATGGGCCCTGTTCAGAGACAAACGAAAGCTGCTCATGAAAAAGAAGTTCTCGATGGTTTTTTGGAGAGAACGAAGCTGAATTTNAAGCTGCTCATGAAAAAGAAGTTCGGTATGAAGTGGTGCTCCCCTGGAAGGTGAATCATCCTCCTCTGGTGGACAATCGACCTAGTGCTGAACACAGACTCAAGAAGACCATCAACACCCTCAAGTCTCTCAATTTGTTAGACGATTATCAACAAGTGTTCGATGACTGGATGCAGGAGGGTTACATTGAACAAGTTCCTGTATGTGAAGTGCCACGTGTCAGCTATTATTTGCCTCATCGTCCGGTAGTAAGAGGGGAGTTCTACGAGAATCAGACCAGTGTTCGATGCCTCAGCACATGGAAAGGCTGGACCATCTCTTAATGACTGTCTGGAGACTGGACCCAATCTCATCGAGCTCCTCTCAAGCCTGTTGATGAGATTTCGCGAGAAAGAAGTGGGAGTCATCGCTGACATACGTAAGGCCTTTCTTCAAATCAGTATTGCCCCCGAAGAACGAGGTCATTTGAGATTCCTGTGGTACAGAGATGCTGATCCTGAGAAAGTAATCGTATACAGGCATCAGCGAGTTGTTTTTGGGGTCTCAAGCAGTCCGTTCATTCTGGGAGCTACGTTGAACCTCTACGTTGACTCAGCACTCAGACATGCTCGAGCTCAGAGTGAGAAATCTGTCCTGCGTAAACTAAAGGAGTCTTTTTACGTGGACAACTGCGTGATCAGTATTGACTCTCACGAAGAGGCTGGAGAGTTCCAGAGAATAAGCTCAAGTGTGTTGGAGTCCGGTGGCTTTGATCTACGAGCATGGGAGTACTCAGGATTGAAGAAGACAGAGCTAGAATCGTCCGTGCTGGGCCTACGTTGGCATCGAGAAGAGGACACTCTGTCACTGGTCAATCCACTCGTACAGAAAGGCGAGCCATCCATCATCACGAAGAGAACGATGCTCTCATTTACTCAGCAGTTGTTTGACCCCCTCGGTATGATTTGTCCAGTTGTTATTTGTCCTAAAATCCTTCTTCAACAGCTTTGGGCTAAGGGTCTCGACTGGGATGTCAGAGTCGATGATGATGTTCGTGATGCCTTTGTTCTCTGGATGGACCAACTGACTTGGCTTAAAGAAGTGAAGATTCCACGCTGGCTATTCAAACCGGAGGAGGAAGCATCCAGAATTTCTCTCCATGCATTCGTAGATGCAAGTAGCTTGGCTTACGCAGCTGTAATTTTTGCCAGAGTAGAGAGCAACAGCCGCGTTGAAGTCGAGTTCGTCAGTGCAAAAGCAAGGATTTCTCCTAAAGAAACCACAATACCTCGACTTGAATTGCTGGCAGCAACGGTGGGAGCAAGGCTGATGCACTCGGTGGTCTCTGCTGTTCCAGATTTACATTGTGAGTTGTATTATTGGACAGACTCCAGTACAGTACTAACCTGGATACGAAGGAATAGTGGGCAACCTTTGTCTGGAATCGTATCCAGGAGATTCGCCAATTGACGGATCCAGAGCAGTGGTCCCATGTACCTGGAGTCTCCAATCCAGCCGACTTGGCATCGAGGGGCTGCACAGCTAAACAATTGGTGGATTCAAGGTGGCACCGGGGACCAGAGTGGTTAAAGTAGCCTCCTGAACAGTAGCCTCGAGCAGTTGAACCTGTTGATGAGAACGAGGTCAACATGAAGATGAAGAAGGCCACTAAGAAGCTCAAGACCCCAAAGACTGCTATAACATTGATCACTGCCTCGAATTCATCGCAGTTGAACCCAGAGAACAACCAGCCCCCTTGGTATTTGAGGAAGTATTCGAGGTACTCTCAAATCATTCGTCTTGTTGCTTGGACTTTACGATTTGTCAACAACTGTAGGAACAAAGAAAAGATCCGCATCCAGACGTTGACAGCGCAAGAACTACAGTCAGCAGAGTATGCAGTCTTCAAAATGGTACAGTCTGAGTGTTTTGATGGGGAGAAAGATCCTCGTCTAAGTGATCTGGTGGTTTACAGAGACGAGATGGGTCTCTTACGACTCAAGACCCCAGTAGCATATCGTGATGACTCCATGGGCTTCCGGTGTCCAGTGATTCTGGATCGTGGACATTTGTTGGTGAACAGGTTGATTGAAGATTGTCATCTAGAACTCAAACATGGTTCCATTGACACCACTCTCAATAAACTAAGGGAACGAGTATGGATATTATCCAGCAGACGAGCGGTACAATCCGTTGTGAGGAATTGTGCGAGGTGTAAGAGATATACTGCCAAGAGACTGGAATCTATCTCAATACCTCTTCCAGAAAATCGAGTGAGAGATGCAAGTGCCTTCGAAGTTTCTGGTGTTGATTTGACAAGTCCACTTTTTCTCAGAGATGGAAGCAAGAGCTGGATTGTCTTGTTTACCTGTGCAGTCTACCGAGCCATTCACCTGGAATTGGTGTCTACCCTCTCTACGGACTCCTTTTTGGAGGCACTCAGACGATTTATAGCTCGTAGAGGACGTCCTGCTGTGTTATATAGTGATAATGGCACTAACTTCGTTGGTGCATCCAATGCTCTGAGAAGTTTGAACTGGGAAACGATTATAACTCAGGGAGCTTCAACACGTATTGACTGGCGGTTCAACCCTCCCTCAGCAGCCTGGTGGGGTGGATGGTGGGAGCGAATGGTGAGAATGGTGAAGGATCTCCTGAAAAGAACGTTGGGAAAGGCTTGCCTCACCTTCGAGGAAATATCCACTATCCTCTGTGACTGTGAGGCGATCATCAATGCGCGTCCTCTCACCTACCTAGCAGAAGACACCCAACAGCTTGTACCTCTGTCTCCAGATATGTTTCTCAGAGATCTTCCTGATTATGGAGTACCTGATCTTGATAAGGCGGACTCCACTTCTCTGAATGCAAGAGTCAACTATCACCAGAGATTACGAGAGGAACTACGTTCACGATTCCGAATCGAATACCTTGGACAATTGAAGCAACATGGGGTCATCAAGCCAGCTGTCATCAAGATCAAGGAAGGATACGTTGTATTCGTGGGGAGTGACAACGTTAAGAGGCTGGAATGGCCTCTTGCCCGAGTCGATCAAGTATTCCCAGGGAAGGATGGGGAAATTCGAGTTGTCAAACTCAAGACAGCAAATGGTTATGTCACGAGACCCATCCAGAAGCTGTATCCGTTGGAGATGTCAATGAGCGAGATTGAGGAAATTCTCCGAGCTTCAGACGCTGAGCCAGAGAACTGGCATACAGTGCCTTCGGCCTCTAAAGTTCGTCGTGCCGGCACCGAGAAAAAGAAGAAATTGGAAACCAAAGCTGCTGAAGTCCTGCCAGGAGTGGAGGATCGCAAGGTGCTAACTAGAAGTGGACGAGTGGTCAAAAAACCCCCGAAACTGATAGATTGAGAGGGGGTTGAGTTGAGAGTCTATGTTTTTGTTTCCATATATTTAAAGGTTTAAATTTAAAGGTTTATTAGTTGAATTGTCTAGCTGACAATCCAAGGTGGGAGAGATGTTATAGTTTGGGCAGTCGATAGAGTAGAAAACCCAAGAGAAGTAATTTTCTAGTTTCTTTTAAGTTTCAAAAGTTGCCTACATTGCTTAACGTATTTTTTGGGCTAGTTACTATGGCATGGCGTTCGCGTCATGTCCCACATTGTAATACAATAATCTCTTCTCGAGTAATTAATACAGTTATTGTGCATAAAATACAAAACGAAGAATATCCATCGATTATTTACACCCTCCGCAACAGTATTCGAAGTTAAGAAAAGTACACAAGTTTGACAAAATTTCGTTCAACAAGTTATGATTTCCTTTTGGTAATCGAACGCAGAAATTATTAGAACGCATTTGACCAACATGATATTTATAGGAAATTAATGACTCAACTATTATCGTAATTTGTTTTCTTTTTATAAATTGGGAGAGAACGCGCGAAACTCACGTGAGCGCCAGATTAAGAGGTCCCTTTTAAAAAAAATTCTTTTTGCTCATTTACTCACTGTTTGTTGATTCACTACTAACCCAGAGAAGAGTCCCCACGTTTTCGCACTGGCTTAAGTGTTTACAAAATTTCTGATTTTGCCAAATATTAAATTTTCAGTTTCAAATTTTATTTTTATAATGTTATTATTGTCATAAAATTCTAAGAAGAGTCCGTTCAAGGTTAAAAATAATTTGAATTGTGGTTTAAATATTGTTGTTTGAAGTTTCTCGTGATAAAGACTTCTTTTTAGTAACTGTGTCCATGCACTTTTTGTTTCAACGCGACGTAAGAAACAATTCGCAGTTTGTCGACCAAATTCGCGTAGAAATCCGCGCTCTAAAGATCTGCGTATTTGCTACGAATTTACTTGAATTGACTTGATTTTTTTTTATATTTCACTAGTACGTCGGGCAGATTGTAATTAATTCCGAGGTTTCGAACCGAGTGAAAAATTCAAGGAGCTCGAATTTTATAATGTGCTTTGGTTTGCAGCTAAGACGAGACTGACTCTTAGGATGCCAAAATTTTTATTGCTAAGGGGAACGATACTCCTGCGATTTCTGTGGGGGTAGATCACGTGGTTTCGTCACGTGCTAATTTTATTTTATTGCGTTTTTTCTTTTCTGCTGAGTTTTGGGGTATGAGCGCTAAAATTTTTTCTTTTTATCGATTCAGCGCTCCCACGAGCGACGATTTTCCCTCAAGCAGAAAAATAACACCGGATGTCTGAAGACGATCTTTTTCGAATTTCCGTTCTTTCTATGAGATTATTTCAGAAATGATCGAATATTTTCATATAAACTTCTATTAATTTTTCTAACATGGCAGTCCCCCTAAGGAGATAATAGAATTTCATTGTGTTATCTCCTTACTCGAGTTGAAAATTTTCGCTTGCGTTCGCAATTTTTCTTCAAGTTCTTTCGCCTCGAACCTGACACGGACTCGGATTTCTTCTACTCAGGCTGAATCTCTTCAGCGCGGTAGATGAGCATTGGGTAAATTTCATATTATCATTTTCATTAATTCCGATTCGGGATTAGTTTTTGTTCAAGGGGATTAATGCAGGGAGACTTATCCCTTTCTGTCCTCCCCTCGTAAAGCAACATCTGAAGGCCTATATTGAAGGGCAGGTAGCCCTTGAGGTTGGATTGAGACGTCATCTTTGCTTACAGAGGCCCATTTGGCTCAAGTGTGTGGATTGGTTCTGGGGAGAGGGCCATGCTTCTGTAGCAGATCCCTTTTATCTCACAGAGCTCTTTGGTGAGGATAATTCTTGGTTGCAAGCTCAGGAAGTCGAGCGCTCTGACCCTTGGTTGGAATTTGAGGGCATGTATGAACTTCCGGAAGAGGATCGTGTGTGATTATTCATTGGGATATTGTTTATGTGTATTGTTTGATTACTTAAATGAACAAAAAGAATAAATTCATCAGCCAGTTATAATTAGAAAACGAATGGTAAATTTGAACATTTTTATTTTGCCTCCATATTCGTTCAGGGTGGTAAGCCTGATTATGAGACGTGACACTTTTCATAAGGTTGAGAATCACTTCGTATCTCCTGTATACTTCGTGCCTTTTGGGCGCCGAGTCGCTGTCACGGCTCATGAGATGTCGCCTTGAGGAGTAGACAGAGAGTAACGAGTATGACTTGGGAGTGTTATTGACGCATTTATCGATCCGTAATTAAATATCGTCTCTGGAGAGATTATGGATTCAAAGTGAAAAAATCTTGTTTTACCTGTCAGTTGGAAAAGTTTTTGTGTTTCGGGAGATGGAATATGGAGTTTTTCTGGGCTTTTTACTCGTTTGTGGCGATCGAACACTGGTATATTATTTGACACCGGCTTCTGAGAATTATGGACGTATCTGTACCTCTCTTGTTGGAATTCCTTAATTATGTTAAGGTATAACAAAAATTCTATTTACAAAGTTAATTCATCGTAGAATCGATCAACAATTCTACCTGTTATTCACGGATTGTCATGCTTCTCATTGGTTTTAAAATGGCTGCTAGCGTCAGTGGATTTGTGTCTCTCTGATTAAAATAATTATTATTGGAACAATTAAAGATTTGATGAGACAAATCTACTGCGAATGTCGACATAACTGACATACATGATGATAATGATAATAGTGATCAAGAGGCCTTAAGGTAAAAGTATTTATTAAAACCACTTCGACTGCTATTTTCTTCAAAACTGCTCAACATCAAATGTATATATATATATATATATATATATATATATTTTATTCATTTGAATTTTTATTATTATCCCCAAAATTAATTGACCCCATGACTTACATTCTACGTGACTGTCATCACGAATTTGACGAATTTGCATTTCCCAAGATATGTTTGCACGACTTTGCTTCAGCTCATATTTTCACTTATTTATTTTCTCCAAGTTTGTGTTATCAATTAACCAATTAGTGAATTGTTTCTGCGGTCTAGCAATGGAATTAAATATACTTAAAGAGATCAAAATGGGTGTAAACATATCTTTGGAATATTGCTTACAGTCCTCTACTTATCATTTCGGTGCTGGTCTAGGTGTTTCGAATTCGAGGACTTCAGAATTCAAGAGGAATCGCCGACTTCTTTCGCTTCGATTTAGTGAAAATAGTCTCCACTGATGGGGCTGGTTCAGAGACAGCGTGCATCGGGACCCTCTGGGATTGATTCTCGATGAGGTTTGGCTCAGACTGAGTAGCCAGTGGATGATTCAGTCTATTAGTGAAAGTAGACAATGCCACAGTCAGACCTTCAAGTTGTTCTGGCATTGAGACAGCGGTCTGGGGTTTTGTCTTCCTTCGAGGGATCCATTTCGTCTGACAGCAACATCGGAATAGGCCCACAACAGCGCCCTTTGCAGTTTGTTGGCTGCAGAATGCCTAGCCCAGCCCAAAGATTGAGAGGAGTCCAACTCCGCCAATGGACCCAAAGTCACCTCCCAAGTTTCTGGTGATATGTCTCTTGGTGTTCCAGTCCAATACGAACTCAAACGAGCACGATCTCAGTGTACGACCCCAACAGAGGAGGAAGGAAATTCCGATCGTACAATTAATTCGCCTCACTCTCATGAAAATGATGAACAAGACCCAAGCAATGATCAGAATCTCTCTTTAGTGAATCCTAAGCAACCATCATCCAAGTGGCCTAAATCAACGGAAGAATAGGACAATTCAGGAAATGACCCGAAGAATAATACTCGATTATCAAAATCATCACCTGTAAGAGAAAAATCGAATACCCTCTTGCATTCATCCAGACATCATTCCCTTGAAGTATCCGATGATAATAGTTTCACAGCGACAACTTGTGATGTTCGCACACATGAGAAATCAGACATTTTTGCAGATGAACAAACCCTTAATTCTTTACTTATCCAGAGAGAATATCCGTCACAGTTTCCAGCGAATGAAAATAATGATTCATAGGAGGATAACGATATTAGTGACCCTGTCAACAATGAATTCGTACCTTCGACTCCAGAACCGAAGAAAAAGAATGATGTACCATTACAATATTCGTCAGTGAAAACCCCAACAGCCCATAGCATCTTCGGAAACCGAAGCGGGATGAGCAGCGATGAACGGGTTTCCATACATGAGCAGTCTTCGCCTGAGGAAACTGAAAAAATTACTCGTTCCTTTACACAGACAAAAAGCCGGGCCACAACATCCCCCCCATTGAAGCGTGCTGATGAAGATATGAATGAAGAAGCTGATTCCCCGGATTATGTTCCCCCACCTTCTTCACACGATGTAGCTGACAATGATTCCAGCGAAGATGATGCAGATCTTGAAGAAGTTTTGGGCGAGGGAAACGCGGAAAAATGCAATGAAGACCCCGAAAGTGCGAAATTATAATGAAATTTATTTGATGTAGATGTTTAGACGAAATTAATGGAGGATATTTTGTTGAGTGTAAGAAACGATAAATTCACCAGAAAGCTAAGAAAAGGGATTGAACAATAATCAATAAATTTATAACGAGAAGAAGAAACAAAGAACCAATAAAGATCCTCAGAAGTAGAATTTCCGTGCACTCAATATTTTCAAATAAATAATAAATTAAAAGCATTGATAAATGAACCACAATCGACACTAGTATTTCCAATACGAAGTTATTTAAGATTATTTATTGCTTTAGTCACTTGGATTCGTCAAAAACATGATTTCATGAGAAAATTGTCAGATAATCGGTCAAGTCTTATAAATTATCCAGATTAGTCTTCGTACTTTCTTTAAATCACAAATATAAAAAAAAAATGTTCTTTCGAATTATTCATTCATCACGCATAACCCATTCCTCAACACATTAATTGTTATCGTAATAATGACTCAATACAATTGAAAAATTCAATTTCTCGTCAATCTCCCAACAAATGATCTCAAGAAATAATGAATACGAGAA